TTTCAGGACATTTATATATATGTTTTGGACTGTATAACTAATATTTACGCTTCCGCATACTTTTGACTATCTTTTGACGATGTTTGATGATTTTGATGGTTTTATCATATTTTGATAAACTTTTCAGAAAATAAAGTTTTAAATAACCGGACGTTTTTATTAAGTTAAAACAACGGTTTTCTAAAGTTAAGTAAAGATTTTCACGGTAGCACCCCAAATCAGTCTCGCAAAGTAAAAATGTTTAGTTTTCAAAGACTTTGCGATTAAATGCGCTACTCTGATTTGTCTAGTAAGGTGGGGTGTTACAAATGGACATTATATCTTAAACATGAGGAGGTAAATCGGATAATTATAATAAGGAGTCTCAAATGTAATTTGGGATAGGTGAGGGGAGTGCAATAATATTATTGTGGTGGACTTTAATATTATTAATATATTAATTGTGAGGTTGCTCCACAGTATTAATATATTAGAAGCCCTTATCCTATTCTCCTTAGGGTCCCTACTGTAGCTCTATATATACAGCATTAGGCTCATGGAAGAGAACAGAACAATCCCATAATTCTTGGGAAACGTCCAGCCCTCTCTTTCTCTCTCTTCCAAGGAGTTCTTCTATTTCTTGTGTTCCACTGATACAAGATCTAGAAAGCTGTTTGAGAATATAGTAGAAGATCTTAAGGTATATAGAGATTCCAATCATACATCCAAACCGGAGACCAAAACCAGCAAGTGACCATACCACGACGACCAGGACGACGAGACGAAGAGATCGCCGCCGTATGCCACCGCACGCGCCGCCACGCGCCGCCGGAGGTTTCCAGCTATCGAGGATAACGCGCGTGCGTGAGAGCGCGTGAACGCTCTGTTTTCTGACCGGTCAACGCCGTTGACTTCGCCGTGACGTCAGCTTTCTGGATTGGTCAAGTTTGTTCGATTCCGAGAAGATTTGATTTGCGGTCAACTGTCCGGGCCAGCCAGATCTACATAAATTTTAAGTAGTAAGTTTTCTTCATCAAACCTTTAAATCCGCTGCGCATAGGTTTATGTTGAATGTTTGTCCGTGATTTGTGCATATCGAGATCCTCGTGAGTTCCAACAAGTACTACTCGCATCAAAAGACCACCGACCTCCGAACCCAAATGGCTAGCTTTAGCCAAAACATCGGTGAAACTTTTCACAAGACTTGGGAGAGATTCAAGGTCTATAACTCCAATGTCTGCACCACCATTTTTTCCTCGGGGTCCTCAACCAATTTTTCTACGACGGGCTACATCAAACGCTCCAATATATGGTTGACCACGTGGCCGGGGGAGACATAGGGAGCCACAAGGAGGAGGAAATCTGTAATCTTTATGAGATGTTGAGTGAGAATTCCCAATGGAAGAGCGTTCGTAAGAGGGCCCCCGTTAATGAGGCTACACAAACCACCGGGTCCTCGAACGACGTCGTGTTTGCCAAGCTTGCCTCGTTGGAGGAGGAACTCAAGCAACTCCGGCTAAGGGATGCAAAATCGACCCAAGTTCTGATGGCCGAGGTGTGCGGTT